GACCAGTCACCTGGTTGAAACATAGAAATACTACTACTACTACTACTACTACTACTAATACTACTACTACTACTACTAATAATAATAGTAATATTAGGTTGGTGCAAAAATAATGACGTCATAATGTCGTTTTTGACGTTAAAAATACGTCAAAAACGACATTATTACGTCATTATTTTTGCACCAACCTAATAATAATAATAATAATAGGATATGTTATTTCAGGAAATAGTTAAATATAATCATCACTTCTACTCCAACAGTTCCCTTTCTCGCACTTCCCGCCTGAGGAACTCCCTTCCGTTTACTTGCTTTCCTGATAACTACAATCTTCTAACATTTAAATGCAACGTCAATCGCCATCTTCTATCTTCTTGAATTCAGTTCATTTTTTATCCTTTCCTCAATCCATCTTATACCCAGTTTTTTCTCTCACTTTCACACTCTGTAGCCCCTTGCGTACTAGGGGCATCCTCGCCTTGCTTGGGGTGAAATGATTAAAAAAAAAAAATTAAAACAGCATTTTGCCCACTATTCTAACTGATCTTAGCAGCGTTCTCATGAGAAAGAGCGAAACATGTAAGCAGCGGAGAGATTTTAAAGAAAATACGAACTAGAAAAACAATCAAAATTAAAACCAGAACGAAGGGGTTCTGTGGTATATCGTGAGGTAGATCGGGTTGGAAATTTTAATTGTATTGAGGATAGAAAAAAACAACGAGTAACTAACCTAATGATTTATGTGAATGAATGGTTAATAGCAACAGGAAGAGTCAACATTTGCTTACAGCGACAAGGAATAGTAAGTTGTGGAGATGAACATCCCTCATCTTGAAGGGACATGGTATATGAATCATGTTGATAATGTTATTTGAATGGTTTTCCTTTTCATCCTCTGTCAAATAGATTCCAGTCTCGTTAACAATGCATCACGTCATATTATCGTCTTTACATTTGTTCTACATGTTCACTTTCTTTCTATTTATGATCTACTTGAAAACTGAGGTCCGTTTCCTATTCTTTTTTTTCTAACTCATACAAGGTTTTATAAATGATGTTCTTGGCATATTGTTGGTATGATGCAAAATATGGATCGAGGGTCGGTATGAGGTTTTTAAAGGAGATAAGAAATTGTGATGAACCCCGAGCAACCTAAGTCAACCACTTCTCCCAGTGGGTCTTTTAGTCCTCATATATGAGCGAGCTTGTCTCGGTACCAGATCTCTGAGATCGGTACGATGGTTCTGACTCAAGGAAGAATTCTGTTGCCCTGTATTTCGTGGTAGACGAGACACGTACACAAGGGGTGTGTATACGCATTACATATATGTGAGACTATTTCAAGGACTTCAGGGGTGTGTGCCCGCATTACATATGTGTGTGACTATCTCACTACCACGTCTACTGCTCTTGCACGTACTTGATTCCTCCTACTATTCTCCTTCCTTAACGGGAACAGATAGATTCCAATCGTCTGGTCTTATGAACAGGATTAGAGGTTTATCCCTTGATTCTTTTTATGATTGGTTTCTCGTTTACTTCAAAGGCCTTTTCCTTATGCAACCCTTTACTACGATTGATCCATTTCATTTTTTCTAAGATAAGAAAAAACATTGACAGTTGGCTATAACTCAGTATATTTTCGTATTATAATTTTAATTATTGGCTATAACTCGCATTTTCGTATTATAAATTTTTATGTTTTTTTTTTAATTGGGACAAATTTTCCTGAGAAGTGTTTGTATTAGAATATTGCCTGTGTCGTTCTTATTGGTTTGTTAATCTTTTAATATTTTTGTTTAAATGGGCATAAATTGCCTAAGAAGTCTTTTATTATATTATCTATATCGTACTTATTAGTTTGTAAGATACTTTTTTTTCAATTTGGACATAATTTTAGTAAGAAAATATTTGTATTAGAACCTTGTCTTTATTTTTGTGATATTTTTATTTTTATTTTTTTAAATGGGAGAAAATTTTCCTAAGAAGTCTTTCTATCAGAATATTGTCTGTATCTTTCTTTACAGATTGTTAACTTTGTAATATATTGTTTCTAATTTGGAAATGATTTTCGCATTAGATTATTGCCAGTGTCTTCCCTCTCGATTTCTTAATTTAGAACCTAGAAACCTGCAAATATATCATATTTTGTTTTACGTTCTTATGCAATAACATAGACGAAGCTGTTATAATTCAGGAAATATTTTTAGCCTTCCCAGATGCTTATATTTTTATGCATTACATTTTCAGGTAAATATTAACTCGGATTGCTGAATTGCTATCTAATATCAGTGTTTGTATATGACAGTGAATACTGGACCATTTCCTGGCAGAAGCAAAAGTGATATGGTTCTACAGAAGGGTGCTCAGAATACCATGGTAATTGTCATGTATGTAACGTGAAAGAATTAAAGATGAAAGCAAAAATAGAACTTACACTTAGAATCAGAAAGAGATTGTTGATGACATATAATATGGAAAGAGGACTTAGAGAGTTTGACACTCACGAGTCATAGAAAACAGGAGGGGTAAAAGGAAAGATCGAGTGGTTAGATGGAAGGACAGAGATGATAGGAAGAGTAAGGAGACTGATATTGCAAACAACTACTAAAGAAAGTTGTAGAGAGTTGTAATTGCCAACGTGCAGAAAAGACACAGCATATATCAACAGCAGAAATAGTGGCATATATCAACAGCAGCAATAGTAGATCTCTCTTGTAAGAATTACTATCTACATACATGCACACTCGAAGAAAATATGGTTCAAGGGTAATTTTAAAGATAAGGGACTACGATTAATTTTTACTACAAACCAAGTTGCATAAGTGACCATGTCTGTTTCCATTTGGAGATACTTCAAGCACCAACGAATAACCCTAGTCACCCATGGAAGAGGAATTGCTTGTCTTCCACGTTTAACTTGTGTACTTCAATACTTCATTTAACCCTGATGGAATTCTGATTCCAGAGCCGCAAATAATGAATAGAAAATAAATTTTCGCGAATAATATTGTTGATCCAAACACTTCTTTCGTCTAGATAAGCTTAATCCTTTACAGATGTAATTCTTGTAATCTGCCCTCTGGGCTTTTGTACATTTTCAGTTCTGGCTATTACGCGGACCATCACACGGGATATATTATTAAAGTTTATTAAGTTTAAAAACGTCATATGCATTATATTACTAAGCTGAAGGTTTCAGTTGACAAATATTTACAAACCCCTGTTAACCTGAATATCTTCAATTTACATCCTGTTAAATTTTATTTTAAAACAAAAACAGCGATACCTGAACTATACAAATTATTATCAAAATATACTGAATTCTGGGGCGATGAAATAAAAGAACATTTATTCGTGACTACATACTGAAGAAAATATCATTGTGGGCACGACTCATATACTGAACTTCCACACTCACTTGTATTTGCTGTCTGCTTTTTCATATTATTATTATTATTGTTCTTGTTGTTATTGTTGTTGTTGTTATTATTATTATTGTTATTGTTATTATTATTGTTATCATTGCTTTTTTTATTTTCTTTGATTTCTGGCGTTTACACATTTCTTTCCGGGTCCCACCCAGGGACCTAAGGTTAGAAAAGGTATGATGACACTTTTTACTGCAAAAAAAAAAAAAAAAAAAAATAGATAAAGCCCTTCGTAAAGTGTCGGTTGTAATTGTGAGAACTATTTTTTTGTATTACTTTGAGGCATGGACTTCCAGTAATCCCTTCAATTATTCTACTGCAATCTTTTACAACCAATCCTAGGGCTCCAACTACAACAGGCATTGTTTCCATATGCCACGTTTTTGAGATTTCGATTTCAAGGTCCTTGTATTTTGACAGCTTTTTGAATATCTTCAAAGATACATTACAGTCTGCAGGGACTGCTATATCAATAAGGAGGCACTTGTTTTTGTTTGTGGTCTTTAATAACAATGCCTGGGTGGTTGGCTTTTATTTTTTTATTATTATTATTATTATTATTATTAAGTAACAGTAATTGTTATATGTGCATCTCTATGTTCACATGAAATATTTAGTGGTAGTCACTGAGTGATATCAAGTCGCTTTAAATGTATAGTACTCTTTTCAAAATGTCACAGAATTTTAGTGAGTTTCCAAGTGGAACAAGGAATATGGGAACAATTTTAACTTTTATTTCCTATATTTTTCAGATTCTGAGCAAGGTGCTAAATTCTTTTCACTTATTCACACTTATTTTTGCATTTACCATCTTGTCCATTGTTACGGCCATGACTACGATGCAGAATAATTTTTGCTTGTCTGTTTTTCCTTTCTCCCCATTATTACATCCGGTCTTGCTATGTGGTCAGTCTGAGTGTCGACATCGCATAGAATTTTGTGATTTTCGTTTGTCAGGTTTCTCTCTGTTTTGTACTTGTCTAATTTGAACTTAATTCGTTTGCGCATTTCACAAAGAAACAAAAAAGGATCTCTCACCTCTTATGTTTGTACTGTTTGATTTTTGTTTTTTTGGAGGATGGAGATCATGCTATATTCATGGATATGGTAGGTTACGAAACTTGTTTTGGGATTTCAATGACATCGTTTTCGGTTACTTACTTCAGAAAAATCGATATTTTTGTATAATCACGAGTTTCCTGGTCGAGCAATTGAATTTTCTTCTATTTTTTTGAGAAATAGTCCTCCTACCTCACAATCAACAGTGTTCCAGATTCTTGATAAATTCTAAAGAATAAGTAGAGGAGAAGTTATCGGTCCTGGTCTGCTATCTCGACTTTAGTCAATTTCTGACCGCCGTAATATAGTTTCCCGCTGTCTTTTTCATAAATATATACATGGCAATTTTTCGAATGCGCTGCCTTCGTTGATACCTCAACTTCATGAATTTAATCGCAGTACTAGATTGGCAACTAGGTCTCATGTATTGCTGTTGAAATAGCAAGACGTAATGCTCTCTCACACTTCTCGCTTGTGGAACTTTCATTGCTTTCCTCTCTGCTATTAAGCTTATGGCGATATCACGTTGAAACATCGGCTCTCATACGATCACAGATGTTAAGCAACGTCAGTACCTAGATGGGTGACCGATTGGGAATACCAGGTGCTGTAAGCTTGGGTGTGTGGGTGATGTAATAGATAATGCCTAGGGAATTGTTAATCGCAGAACCTAGTAACAATTCACTTACGCGCAAATAACCTTGAGAAAGATCTAAACCCATCGCTTGGTGAATGTGTACGACTATTATAACTAAATCGTTACTATCTCAAAAAAAGATTATTACGGTCTAAAAATTATTTATAACCTGCAAATGGATTGATAAGCCGTCGATAACGATTCAAACAATATTATTCTTTTGATATTTTCCCTAGATCATCATCATCATTATTATTATTATTGCTGTTGTTGTTGTTATTGTTGCTGCTGTTGTTATTATTAATGTTGTTGTTGTTTTATTTCCTTTGATTTCTGCTATATATTCATTTCTTTTCATAGTCGGGACCAGAGACCTAAGGTCAGAAATGTCATCATGACATTTTCCACTGAGCAGTTTTAAAAATAAATAGCATATATTTTACATAGATAAAGCCCTTTGTAAGGTTTGGGCGATACTTGCATTATTATTATTATTATTATTATTATTATTATTATTATTATTAGTTGTAGTAGTAGGAAGCCACTAGCACGCAAAGGGTTACAGAGAGTTGGAGCGAGAGCAAAGAGGAGTGATAGACGAAAGGACGAAGAGAAGGATAGGGGATAGATCAAGGTATGTAGAGACGTCGATTGACATTACATTTGAATAGTTGGAGATTATAGCTATCAGGGAAACAGGAAAAGGGGAGGGAGTTCCACAGCCGAGTGGTACGAGACGTGAAGCTATTGGAGTAGAAGAGACGGCTACATTTAACAGTTTCGACAGTGAAAGGTTGTGAGCGAGATACCAGCCTAGTAGAAAGCTTAAATTCATGAAGTCTGGGAACCAGCGAAAGTAGCTCATCGTGAAAGTATTTGTAAAAAAGACAGAGGAAGGCGACGGCACGTCTGTGAGAGAGCGTCTGGAGACAAGATCAGGTCCAACTTAACATGTAATGTCTTTATAATGTTTTTAAATTGGATATACACTCTTGAGTAGATAAGAAACGTCACTGACTGTAATTTTAGAATCACTTAAAAAAAGGTTCTGCCAAGTATTTGTTAATGTTCTTTTCTGTACTTTTATATTGTACCCTGAGTTCCAATAATTACCGCTATGACACTAATTTATGGTACCATATTTTCAAGATCCTTTTTGTTACTTATTTTGTAATCTTCCCAAGTTATATTTTTACCTGATGATACTTCAGTATCAATGAGAATATATTATGTGTTTGTAACGTTCAATCGCTATCAGTCAATTATGTGCCATGCGTGATACACGCTTAGGCTATCATGTATCTTTCGAAACATGACTGATGAGGTAGATTTTTCACGCAGTAGGTTGCCATTTCTTTCTGTGGTAGAGAGTTGTCATCCAAGGCTATAGAACCCAGGCTGTCCTACTATTTATTCATAGCTGAGGGGAGAAGAAGAGGATTCATACATTTCCCAAGAGTACTAGCAATCTGTCTATATTTCTGAGATGAGGTATTATGTATAGTATTTACATTAGTCAGACTATTGTCCTCATCTTTGTCGCCATATTTGTCACAACGTCACTCTGGTAAAGACATGCAATGATAACAGCAAAAATTGCAATATGAACACTAGTAAAAATGATTCTGAAAACATTAGGTTCATAATACTCAGAAGTTCATACCCAGATGTTCTCAAGGACAAATGGCAAAGTGGATAAAGGCGTTGGTTAGATCCAGTGACAGACCCAAAGAAGGTGAGTTCAATTCCTGGTTAAGCAAAAATTAGCAGGAGATAACTGATAACTGACATCCATCAAACATGGCACGTGGAACTAGAACAGTCTACCCCAGTGATCGAAATAAAGGGTTCAGTTCGAAATTCCAATCACCTGAAGAAGGCGGAGCGTACAACGGCCGAAACGTTGTGACAAATATGGCGACAAAGATGAGGACAATAGTCCGACTAATGTAAATACTAGTACTAGCAATGTAATAAATTCGACAAGAATTCGAACTCGGCTCTCCAATTTCTGAGTTGCTATCCATTAATCGCTATATCAGATTATTGCCCTTTTGTTGTCCTTTCTCTTCTCTAAAATCTTATTTTCTTTCACTCCCAATAAATCCTTGCGTGTTAGTGACACTAACGCCTTCCTTGGGGTGAAATGATTTAAACAATTAAAAAATAAATAAATAAAAACGTATTCTTAAGTTTTGGGAAAATGTTGATTCTATGATATTGGTTCTCTGTCGAATTTCGAATTCTACCAATATTTTACTAAGCTTTTACTATTGTTCTCATTCTTTTAACTACAGTCGCTACAAATGTCTGATTCTTTTATCTAAAGAATCTTCACCCCTCAAGCGAGATCCAGAACCTCATCCAGGTGTTAGTACTAGTTTTATAATTTATCGGTGGTTCTTGAAACAGCGAAATATTCTATTCATATTTCCAACACCTAATGATGGCGCGTTTCGCTGAAAACTAACAACAAAGCAAACTTACAGCACCTTCCTCAGTACCAATGCAAGACCCAGTATTGACACGGTTAGGAAAATCTCAATTTTTCCTATTAATATACAATTCTCTCAATCATAAAATAATAGCTACCGATGGTCTAACTACTACAGCCCTGCAATTAACCGTCACATTTCATTGGTTCTTGAGACCTCGAACAATATCTTCTTATTTTAAATGTTTTATAAACTATAAATGGATGTCTTATGATTGTTATTTGCTGGCTGTTTGTAAAATTAAAATAAACGTTTTCTATCATTCACCATTTGAGCCTTGACCACCGTTTTACCGATGGTACAAAAAATAGCGTAATGTCCAGCCACCGGTTGAACAGTGGTAGAGAAAAAATGACTTAATGCTCAGCAAACGATTGAACAGTGGATAAATACTTGTAACTATTTTTATATCTTGCGTGAAAAATTTCATACCAATTATTTGCGAATTTTGATTCAGGAAGTCGGGTAGAAGGGTTAAAATTGTTCAGGAACGCACGGCTCAAATGATTAGGGGTTTGGGTTGACCACATTCCACGAAAAGCCACAAAAAGAGAGGTCATGAATTTTGTATATGACATAACACTTAGCGCCCCGCTTCACAGGTGGTAGAGAAAAATGACTTCATGTCCAGCCACCGGTTGAAAGGTGGATAAATACTAGTAACTATTTTTATATCTACTGTGAAACATTACATACCAATTATTTGAGAATGTTGATTCAGGAGTTTAGGCAGAAGGATTAAAATTGTTCAGGAACTCAGGGTTCAAAGGGTTAACGTGGGTTTAAATTATGAATTGTTACTTATAATTTAATTTAATTTGAGCCAACGGTTTATTTTCAAATTTTTTTTCAAATTTTATATATATATATATATATATATATATATATATATATATATATATATATTATTTCACAATCGTCTAACCGGTTGGACGTCGCATCTAAAGTGGGCTAAATTTGCAGCTATTTAAGCAATGTACCAGTGTCAAAACTATCTTCAAACATCAACGTAAGTTTTTTGCATCTAAAGTGGGCTAAATTTGCAGCTATTTAAGCAATGTACCAGTGTCAAAACTATCTTCAAACATCAACGTAAGTTTTTTGCTACAACTTGTTTGCTTCTTTTTGCTTTTATAAATAGAAAAAGAAGGTCAAATTATTCAGAGGATTTGAAAATGAGATTTTTTTGCGTCTTCATTTACATTATTTTTCTCTCTTTTCGTTCATTACATTTTGTCGTTTCTGTCTTTCTGTTGCTCATTTTGTTTTTCTCTATTTACCATTCTTACTTCCTGTTCAGTTTTCTACACCATCTTTTTTTATTTTTATGGATTTTCGTTTGGAATATTTATTTAATTGTTTGAAACTTTCTTATGTAGTTGGTTGATTTTATTTTTTCTTTATTTATCGTATTTTAATATTTTTTCTTTTATATATTATTTATTTATTTCGCACTTTTTTACTTATTTCCTTTTTTCCCAATTCTTCATTCATCCATTCTTACATTTTGTCTTCATTTTGGGTTTACTATATTCTCTTTTTTAGCATTGTTTGTTTCTTTCTTTCTTTTTCTTTCTTTCTTTCTTTCTTTCTTTCTTTCTTTTTTTCTTTGATGTTTATTCTTCTTGCTATCTTGTTATTATTTGAATATTTTTTACATTATATATATATATATATATATATATATATATATGTGTGTGTGTGTACAAATGTGTGTGTGTGTATACAAAGTCTGAATGAAAATGGCTAAAAAATAAAATATATATATATATATATATATATATATATATATCTACATACAGTGTGAATTTACTATCGTTTATTAGAGCGCACACACACACATCTACATGTATATATATATATATATATATAGATATATAGATAGATAGATAGATAGATAGATAGATAGGTATTTTACATTGTAACGTACCACTGATTTCAGGTTTAAAAGAAATCTGCGCTGAAACATATCATGGGCTTTTACGAATATACAACTGTATACATGCAAGCATCTAATATATATATATATATATATATATATATATATATATATATATATATATATATATATATATATATATACTTATTTGAATTTTATTATTATTCTTAATCAGTCACCAAGAAATTCATTTGATTTGGGCACGTGAAAGTATAAACACTAAAATAAATAGACATGATACGTTCAGCATTGTTTTAACCAAACGGACTTGAATTAAAATAGTCTGTCTGTCTGTCTGTCTCTCTCTCTATATATATATATATATATATATATATATATATATATATATATGGATGGAGAGAGAGAGAGAGATAGGGAGAGAGTGAGAGACAGACAAAGGGAGTGGTGGAGAGGGTGACAGAGACTAAGAATGAGAGTGAGGAGAATTTACTAATCGTAAAGACTTATTAAGGTTGATAGTCGGAATGACACCGCATAACTTTAAAATTAGTGTAACCTTTTGCATGTTTCAAACAACTGTAA